TACGGTTGACATGGTTGCCAAGACTTGTAATTGTGGGCAGTGGAATATGACTGGATTCCCATGTCGTCATGTCCTAAGAGTGCTGCTTTATAGGAAACTTGATCCTATGGATTATGTCTCAGACTGGTACTTGACTTCCAAATGGAGAGACCAGTACAAGAATCTGATCAGGTCTGTGAATGGCATTGATCTTTGGAGGAGGTCTGGTGAAACTAGGATCCAACCACCACCAAGAGAAGAGTCGCATGATCCTACCAAGAAGCAGAAGAGGATAAAAGGCAAAAATGAATCACCAAAGAAGAAGAACAAGGGGAAGGAAGTTGTGCCAGAGCCTCATGCGAAGATTGTCAAGCTTACTAGAGAAGGGAGAGTCTCTCACTGTCGAGGATGTGGTTTAGTCGACATAACATCCAAAAATATCCAGTCACTGTGCATGTTTCAAAACCAAAGGTAAAACGCAATCCAGATGTCATTGACTGCGGTGAAGGACCAAGCCAAACACAGCCATCGCAAAGTAAAAAGGGAGAGTGAAGGTGGTATTTAAATTCTGTTTTATGAATGTATATTTTGATACTTATTTGATTCTTACAGGTTTTTTTCCTTTTTTTATGAGTTTTCAGTGTGTTAGGTGTTCATCATGTGGCATTCAAGATCGTGAAGAGGAGGGGTGGTGTTATGGAATATGTTTTTTGTTTGCTGAAACTCTAGTTTTTTTTTTTTTTTTTCGTTTGGTTTGCTCATGCTGTATTGGTTTGGAGTCATGGAGTTTGGTTTAGTTTTTTTTGCTTGGTTCAGACTAATGCTTTTTCAGAGCAGTGTTTTATGGCGTCAGTGTTGGTATTTTGGATTATTAAAAGGGACAATAACTATAAAGTACCAAAAAATATATTATATTACTAAAATATATTGAATATTTTAAAAATTACTATATTGTCCGATTATGTTTTAAATGACTATAATACCCTTAAATATGTTCTTATAAAAAAAACATAATAACGAAATTGCCATTATGTTTTTATTAGAACGAGGTGAATATTTACAATATTGCCACCGCTTTTAAACCACCGACAAAAATATGTCTACGGACTTTGATAACGTAGACATATTGGATTTGAATAGACTTAACGATTTTGTACTTCATGATATTGTAGACTTAATTGGTAGACTTAATTGGTAGACTTATTTGGCAGACCGTGTAGATTTATTTTCTGTCGTAAGACTGTAAAGGTAGACTTTTGAATTCGTAGACTTAGTTATGTAATTTATTTGACTGTAGACTTTTAGTGTCGACTTATTCGTTTAACGTGTAGACTTAAATGGAATCGAGGAAATATGACTTCGTAGACTTATGTTGGATTTAGACTTATTATGTAAACCTCAGAAGAGGTAGACTTAGTGAGCAGACTTAATGTTATTAGAGGCAGATATATGGAAACGTAGTCCTAGACTTTTTGGTCTGTAGACTTAATAAAGTTATCTATGTGTGTGTAGGCTTTTAGTTTAGACTTGTTCTTTGATAGTATAGACTTAATTGGAAACAAGGAAATCTGACTTCGTAGACTTATTGCCGATTTAGACTTATTATGGAAACCTATGTATAGGTAGACTTATAGAGTAGACTTACTGTTTTTACAGATAGATTTTTTAATATGATGGTGTAGACTTGTTGGACGGTAGACTTAATCAAGTAATCTATTATAGTGTAGACTTTTAGTGTAGACTTGTTCTTCGACGAAGCAGACTTAAATGGAAACGAGGAAATATGACTTCGTAGACTTATTTTTGATTTAGACTTATTATGTAAACCTCAGAAAAGGTAGACTTAGTGAGCAGACTTAATGTTATTGGAGGCAGATATATGGAAACGTAGTCCTAGACTTTTTGGTTTGTAGACTTAATAAAGTTATCTATGTCTGTGTAGACTTTTAGTTTAGACTTGTTCTTTGACAGTATAGACTTAAGTAGAAACGAGGAAATCTGACTTCGTAGACTTATTGCCGATTTAGACTTATTATGGAAACCTATGTAGAGGTAGACTTATAGAGTAGACTTACTGTTTTTACAGGCAGATTTTTTAATATGATGGTGTAGACTTGTTGGACGGTAGACTTAATCAAGTAATCTATTATAGTGTAGACTTTTAGTGTAGACTTGTTCTTTGACGAAGCAGACTTAAATGGAAACGAGGAAATATGACCTCGTAGACTTATTTTGGATTTAGACTTATTCTGTAAACCTCAGAAGAGGTAGACTTAGTGAGCAGACTTAATGTTATTGGAGGCAGATATATGGAAACGTAGTCCTAGACTTTTTGGTCTGTAGACTTAATAAAGTTATCTATGTCTGTGTAGACTTTTAGTTTAGACTTGTTCTTTGACAGTATAGACTTAAGTAGAAACGAGGAAATCTGACTTCGTAGACTTTTTGCCGATTTAGACTTATTATGGAAACCTATGTAGAGGTAGACTTATAGAGTAAACTTACTGTTTTTACAGGCAGATTTTTTAATATGATGGTTTAGACTTGTTGGACGGTAGACTTAATCAAGTAATCTATTATAGTGTAGACTTTTAGTGTAGAATTGTTCTAGGAAATATGACTTCGTAGACTTATTTTGGATTTAGACTTATTCTGTAAACCTCAGAAGAGGTAGACTTAGTGAGCAGACTTAATGTTATTGGAGGCAGATATATGGAAACGTGGTCCTAGACTTTTTGGTCTGTAGACTTAATAAAGTTATCTATGTCTGAGTAGACTTGTTACAGCCCAAACCCTTACCGGAACCGTTATTACAGATATCAGATTAAGGGAGAGTAGCCGTGCCGCGATGCAAGTCGATGAGCACTGTCTTCTGAACTCGCGGATTTGAGACCACCGACGCTTGCCAAGTCGAAGTCGAAGTCGAAGATTTGAGGCGACCGCCGCTTGCAAAGTCGAAGAGATCTGTCCGTTAAACCGGAATCTCGGGTTCCGACGACGCAAAGAAAGTGTCGGCCGTGGAGATAAAAGAAAGAAGAGAAGATGAAAAGTTACTTTTCAGTAAATGAGATAAATGAGATAAATAAACCTGATGTAAAATCTCAAAACTTTTCACCTCTTTTTTTAAAAATGGCATAATCGTAATATTATGAGTTTTAAATGGGATACAAGTAATATCTAGGGTCCATTTTGTATCAAATGTAAAACTGGGTCTCTCTAGTAATATTAGGAAACTTTTGGTATATTTTAGGTAATTTCCCTTATTAAAATGGTATAATACTCTACTTCTCTGAATGACATTTTTGATGCAGCGCATTATTTCTATGGTATACCATATGTATACCATAACTATAGTATACCATATTTTTGCCATACTCTTCTTATGTTGAACTGAATTTATTTAGAAGTTGTTTCTTTCATTGAGCTTTGCAAAGAAGAGTCTTTTACAAGTCTCGATCCTTTTTAAGCAGAAAACAGAGCACTCTTCTTGATTCTTCTCTGATTTTGGGTTCTTTTTTTTGCTCTCTGAATTGAAGTTAACCAAGCACAAATTAAATTTGAACAACAACCTTGAAATTTAAAACACAAACGATTGTATTCTTAGTCTGAATACAGAGTCGAACCTGAAAAATTGACAATGCTAAAGACATGAAAAATACATGAACCGATGACCATGTTCAACAAATAAACATGAAACTCAAGACTCCATTAAGCTTCTTAACACTCCATTTTGAACAAACAAATCCTAATGGAAAATAAAAAAAAACACGGTTACAATCATCACCAGCCCACAACCATCGCATTCTTTATGGAACTCAAGACTCCATTAAGCTTCTTAATCTGATTTTTGCAGCAAGTGACCTCAGCTTTTAGCTCTCCAATCTCTTTCTCAAATCGAGAGGTTGAAGAACTGGTTTTCTAAATCCCTAATTCGTTTACGAGTGAATTCGAGGGTTTGAAGACGATGGTGAGACAAAGTGGCGTCGTTTTGCGATGTCTTTCTCCACAATTCAATAAGAGAAACAACAACGTTGAGGGGTTTTTTCATACATCGAATGCCCATACAACAGCGTCCCTTATGTGGCGTCCACGTAGGCATAGGTTGACAGAGACTTAACAACAGTGTATTTACGAAAATTGGTTTACGCCTGAAAAAGGAAGTTTAAAGATAAATTACAAATTTTAATATAGATTAAATATGTAAAAACCTAGTACATAAGTTTGGGCCTAGATTTAATATTTTCGGAAAGTTTGGGTCTGAAAAAGCTAATTCTAAAATGGTTACACATAGTTATTTGTAACTTTGTTCTATATGGAGAAATCAAAGACATCTTTCGTTCTAGATGTGTTCAATTCAACAAAGTAGATAGATCGATAAAAGATGAATTTTCTCCACCTAGATTAATTCTCTAAGAATTCAACTACTCGGATTTTTTTTTTGTAGTCAGACTAATATATATATTGAAGAAAATTGGCGAAATCAGAAATATATTTTACCGCGATTAATAGTAAATACATTATATATTTTTTACCGGAGTCAATACTAATATTTTTTACAAATTACTTACTATATACACAAATTTTATAAAATTTACAAGGGGTCGGTTAACCCCTCCGCCACTGATACTACCCATCTACCATATAAATTGCAGAAGTAAAGGATCTTGGAAACATAAATTATATGTTTCTTTCCAACAACAAAAAGATGATTCATTCCCTTTTTCTTCTAAATAGTACTATGAATCTTATTATAATAAAGTGAGCTCATTATATTAGGAGATATGTACATAATAAATTAGTCCATATTTTGATAAGACAAGATTAAAATCTCCTTATGATAAGAATAAAATCTCTATTATGATAATTTAAAATCTGTAATATTTATACCTCTTAATACTCTGCATTGCTTCGTCTATAAAACACAAACAGTTCAAACATTCAAACCTAAAACTAAAAATCAGAGCCCAAATCTCAAATTTGCAGCCCTTTTACAGAGCTTCCATCTTCCTTGTGAGATCAAAATGAAGCGATTACGATCATTATCTATGTCTGATCTTCCATGGGATTTGATAGAGGAGATACTCTCTAAGGTTCCTGCAATATTTCTAAAACGCTTACGTTCTACATGCAAACAATGGAACATGTTATTCAGTGATCAAGTATTCACGAGGACGCATTTTGATATAGCAGCAAAGCAATATTTGGTTCTAATGTTGATAGATTTTAAAGTTTATTTCTTGAGTGTCAATCTCCGTGGACTTCACGACAACATTGATCCATCTATAGAGCTAAAGGGTGAAGTTAGCCTAACTAACCACCATTATCATTCAAATCAATTTGAAATATCTGAAGTCTTTGATCACTGCAACGGATTATTGCTATGCAGCCTATGCACAAACATGAGCACGAGACTTGTGGTTTGGAATCCATGTACGGGTCAAACCAAGTGGATCCAAACCAAATGTGTTGATAATAGATACGAGGAGTCCTATGCTCTCGGATACGAAAACAACAAATCGTGCCATAATTACAAAATCCTGAGGTTCTTGGAGTTTTATGATACTTCTGAGTCTGAGTTGGAAATTTATGAGTTTAGCTCTAATTCATGGAGGGTTCTTGATAGCCTCACTCCAGACTTCGCAATACAATTACAAGGCGTGTCTTTAAAGGGAAAAACTTATTGGGTTGCTGCAGATAAAGGAAATCAATTTCTTGGCAATAAATTTTTGATAAGTTTTGATTTTACAACAGAGACATTTGGGCCACATATGTGCCTTCCGCATGGGGATTTTTATGCTTTGTCTTTGGTAAGAGAAGAGCGACATTCGGTGTTGTCTCAGGACGAGGAGGCATCAACGATTGCATCAACGATTGAGATATGGATAAGCAACAATATCACCGAGTCCAAAGCCATATCTTGGAGTAGGTTTCTAAAAGTTAAATTAAACACTCATCAGTTTTGGAATCGTGATATAAGTTTTTTCATCGACGAAGAGAATAAAGTTGCTGTGTGTTTTGAAGAAATATTCCAAGAGGAGTCGGATAACAACAATAATATTGTATACATTATTGGAGAGGATATATTCAGAGAAGTGAATCTTGGAGATTCAGATGCAGAACGGTGGTCTAGTCGTATGTTCAGTTATATTCCAAGTTTGGTTCAAATCTAGCAAAAGAAAAAAAAATGAGCAATATTGGAAGATAGTTTATAATATTTTAATTTTCTTTTTGATCGGTCTCCCAAGCCGAATGCATTTTATAAACCATAATCTGACAAGCTAATAGTTCAGCTGATTACAACCTATTTGGAATTATACAACTCTACAACCGTATATTGTCCCCGATTCGACTCTTAGTTCTACCTAACACCAACCTTTCAGCCATTGTTTTTCCTTCCAGAGCTTTAAGGTTTACCTTAGAACATAGACTTGCCAGCTGAAAGTGTAAACATTTTTCTCTGACCGTAGTTCCTTTTCATATCATTATACTTGAGATCCTAAAACCTAGTATCTTCGAGTATCGTTTTCTTTTACACTTCCCTCATATCCTTCGACTTATAAATGAATTGGTCAATTTTCATTTTTTTTTTCTACCTCATATCCCCACACCTGTTACTCAGAGCCGTACCCACCAATACCATGTAGCCTCTTTTTTTTCGCCGGCCAAAGAAATTTTACTAATTTTCCAAAGTACTACCATTGTTTACTCAAGATTTGAGAAAAAGAGGACAAGAATGAAACACTCTCCAATAAGATGTAGAAGTGAGAGCTTCAGAACAGGAAGTGGAAGAGCGATTCCTATACGTAACTTGATTGAGTTGAACATGAGACTCCGCTTTTTGATGGTACAAAGATAGTTATGAAGTCGCATATTCACCCCATGGTCGGCTGCCTAAGATTCTTGGTTGTATACAAGTTTAAGTCAACCCCATTTGATTTAAAGTAAATCAGATTTTTAAAAATTCTATGTTTGTTGATACAGGAACTAAGGGATTGATCCTACGATGATGGACGATGGAGAAGTTGTTGCTGGACTAAAATCACTCTCAACAGACTCAAAAAGATGAATGATGAGAAGTGATAGATCTATGGAAACTCTTCAGCTGGCCTAAGGTCACTCTCTGAAGAATCAAAATGATGAGTGGATAGATGGATGGACTGAGAGATGCCACACAGATCTGTCAAAGGATCTATGGTAAGGAACATTCAAGCTTCAAGGAATTAGAGCTCGAATTCTTCTGTCCCAAAAAAAAAAAGAGAAAATTCTTGTTTTATTTCATTCAAAATATGATGTTTTACATGCTGAGAAGGGATTTTATAAACAGTTCTGCAACAGCTGATCTTCTAGAGTCAAAAATATCATACAATAAAGGACTAGACTTGTAAAACAACAAACTTTAGGACCTAAAAAGAAAAAGACTCTTAAATTTCCAACCCTCATATTCCTACAAAAAAAAAAAAAAAAGTTCATTTAATATTCAAATGGAAATGCATATCTCATATAGATGATTTAAGTAGCTTGATCCTCTCTCAAAATGGTGAGGAAAGCAACTTTGTTAATTCTTTGAAGAACCATCCAAAACAGAGTTGTTGGAGTCTTAGAGCAGAGTTGTTGGATTCTTGAGCAGACTTGTAGCCTTGAGCAGAGTTGTTGAAGTTGGTGAGAACAGAATTGAAACTTGATGAATTCTTCCTCTTGAAGTCGATGTAATTGACATCTTCAAGTGTTTTCACGTGATTAGCTTCAAAATCCTCGTCTTTCTCTGTTTTCTCTTTATCGGCTACATGGATTGAAATGTGGATATCATGCAGCTCTGATGTGATTTTGGCGAGATTCTTGATGTTCTGAACTCCATATCTTGCCAAGTAAACATCCTTGCCTGAGTTTGTTAAAGGCTGATCTTCCTTGAGGTCCAAACGTGCAAGATCCTCCATGGGGTCTATATCAGATTGTTGAATCATAATCAAATCTTGCTTAAGTCAAAGTCACATTTACATAAGTTAGTTACTAAGAGTCATGTTCGTATAGTTGTGTCGTTTCACTAAGAGTCATGTTTGATTAGGAGTTGTGTCTGTTCAACACACTGTTTCACTTTGTATAAATAAGTCAGTGTGTAATACAATCAAAACAATAAAGGTTGATTACACATATATTCTGTTTTTTCTTCTTTACCGTAAAACATCAAACACAAATCTCTAACATGGTAGCAGAGCCCTACTGATTCAAGGGGCCAATTGAAGCACAATCAAGCAAAAAACAGAGTATGGAAGGAACATCGCAAGTGATTCCCATTTTTGATGGGGATAAATACGATTTCTGGCGTATCAAGATGACAACAATTTTTAAAACCAGAAAATTGTGGACAGTGGTGGAAAACGGAGTTTCGAATCGACCGACACAAAGTGAAAAAAACTCTCGAAGTGTTGCAACTAAAAAGGAAATGGGAAGAAGAATCAACAAAGGATTCGACGGCGCTGCAAATTCTGCAAACTGCCGTGACGGACCAGATCTTCTCTCGCATAGCACCAGCACAATCATCAAAGGAGGCTTGGGATTCTCTGCAAACCGAATTTGAAGAATCGCCTCAAGTTTGATTAATCAAACTCCAGTCGCTGAGAAGAGAGTATGAAAATTTGAAGATGAATGACGGTGATAGCATCAAGGTTTTCACGGGAAAACTAATTGATTTGGGAAATCAATTGAGAGTTCATGGAGAAGAGAAAACTGATTATCAAATCGTTCAAAAGATACTCATCTCTCTTCCTGAAAAGTTTGATAGTATCGTTGCCGTGATGGAGCAAACAAAGGATTTGCAAACTTTGACCCTGTCAGAGTTGATCGGTACTCTTCAAGCCCATGAAAGTCGTGTTGCTTCACGATATGAGAGTTCGACTGAAGGAGCATTCTATGGAGAAAAGAAACATGAAGACAAGAAGGCCGAAAAATGGTGTGGCGTTCGCAAACGAAACAATCACAATGAAAGCGAATGTTGGTTCAAGCAAAAGAAGAACCAAGGTGTCTCTTCACAAAAGATTGTAAACAATAAGAGAAGGTGTTTCGTCTGTAACAAACTGGGACATCTTGCAAAGAACTGCAAACTTAGAAAAGCCGAGAGAGCGGATCTAAGTCTAGAAGAAACAGATGATGAGGATCACATGCTGTTTAGTGCGGTTGAAGAAGAAGTATCATCAAAAGTAGATGATGAAACATGGTTAGTTGACAGCGGATGCACTAACCATATGACCAAGGAAGTTAAATACTTCATCACTCTTGATCAAAGCATAAAGGTTCCGATCAAAGTGGGGAATGGTCAACGTGTAATGACGGCAGGAAAAGGAAATATCCAAGTGATGACAAGCCAAGGAGAGAAGATCATCAAAGAGGTGTTTTTAGTGCCGGGTTTAGCAAGAAATCTATTGAGTATATCTCAAATGATATCAAATGGATATGGAGTCTTATTTGAAGACAATAGATGCCTCATCAACGATCCTCAAGGGAGAAGGATTCTGAACATTAAGATGAAGCATAAGAGTTTTCCACTCAGATGGAGTAACTTAGAAGCAAGTGCTTTACTTGTGAGTGAAGAAGAAGCTGCAGTTTCACAGGAAAAGATGTAGCAAAGGGTTGATGTGAATGACTTGAATGTTGATCCATTGAAGATCTCAGAAGAAAGCTTGGAGTGAAGGCGAGATATGATTAAGGGGGAGTGTTGAATCATAATCAAATCTCGCCTTAGTCAAAGTCACATTTACATAAGTTAGTTATTGTTGTAACGGATGCAAGAAGAAAACAGTCAACGTAAAAATCACACACAGATTTAACGTGGTTCACCAACGATGCGTTGGCTACATCCATAGACAAAGGAAACTTATTTTATTACGGAGACAGACAGTTTCAGAATACATCAGAAATTAGGTTAACATGGTTATTTATAGCATAAATCCTAGTTAACCCTAATCACAATTGGACTCGCTCACTTAGGCCCATGTAAGAACCTTCATGCAGAAATAGCGGCCCAATTGCACGCAGACTTCTATATTGCTCATGCAGGCTGTAGTCTTCCACATCAACTTACATAGCATGTAGATCTTGATATCAGCTTCAAGATGCAGAACGTTGCACTCAACTATTTGCTCAAACAGATTGTAAGCTTCAACATGCAGCGTGTAAACTTCAACATGCTGCAAGTATCTTGCATACTTGATCATGCAGGCTGCATGCTGGATCATGCATCCTGCATGCTTGATCCTGCAGCCTGCACACATCTGCACGCATCAATGCCAAGAAGCTTCTACGCTTCAGGATTCAAGGCATACCAACAAATCTCCACCTTGACTTGAATCCTCCAGGATGCTTCTACACTTCAGGATTAAAAGCATACCAACAAATCTCCACCTTGACTTGAATTCTCCAGGAAGCTTCTACACATTAGGATTCCAGTCATATCGACAAACCTCCACCTTGACTTGAATCCTACAGACAAATGTATCAGATGCACCCTCATGGTACCAGATATACTGGACTTCTCCTTTGCTGCAGATTGTACGACATGCACCTTCACTGTGTCTGATGTACCAGACGTTCTTCCTAACAGACATACCAAATGCACCTCATAGTGCCTGACATACTCAGAGAACAAGATGTCCCTACAGACCAGATCAGACGTCTTTTCGGAACAAGACACTCCTTTAGCACTAGACTTTTGTTCGGAGTCAGACGTCTTTTTGGAACAGACACCCTTCAACAGACTTAGATAGTCTCTGCAGAACCAGACTTTCCTCACCACGCTCACATATATATGCCTGCGAAATCAGACACCATACACCGGCTCAGATGCTTCATGCATAATCATACGCTTTTCACGGAGTTCAGATGCTTCATGCGAAATCAGCAAAAACAGATGCATATCAGATACTCCCTGCAGAACCAGCCGCCCTTCATAGAGCTCAGATGTTTCATGCAAAAATCAGATGCTCTTGACCGAGCTCAGACTTCATGCAGAATCAAACGTTCTTTTTGGAACCAGATACTCCTTAACGGACTCAGAGACGCTCTGCAGAACAAGACTCCCTTCACTGGGCTCAGTTATATGCTTCCTGCAGAATCAGACGCCCTTCACCAGGATCAAATACTCCTTGCAAAACTAGACGCCTTTCATAGAGCTCAGATGCTTCATGCAAAATCAGACGCCCTTCATGGAGATCAGATATTCCCTGCAAAACCAGATTATCTTCACAGAGCTCAGATCTTTCATTCGAAATCAGACACCTTTCACCAGGTTCAGATGTTCATTGCGGACTCAGACACTCCTCACTGAGTTCAGATGTTAATTATAGAGGCAGACACTCCTCACTGAGTTCAGATGCTTTATGCAGAATCAGACGCTCTTCAACGAACTCGGATGCTTCATACGGAATCAAACATTCTTCTTTGGAGATCACATACTCCCTGCAGAACCAGATGCTCTCATAGAGCTCAGATGCTCAGACTTCATGCAGAATCAGACGCTCCTCTCTGGGCTCAGGTGTTCACTGCAGAACTAGACGTTCCTCACTGAGTTCAGATGCTTTATGCAGAATCAGATGCTTCATACGGAATCAAACATTCTTCTTTGGAGATCACATACTCCCTGCATAACCAGATGCTCTTCATAGAGCTCAGATACTCAGACTTCATGCAGAATCAGACGCCCTTCAGCTAACTTGGATGCTCATGAGAAGCCCGACAGACACCCTTCACAGGCTCAGATGCTCGCAGAGCCAGACACCCTCTCAACGGGCTCAGATGCTCCTTGTGGAGCCAGATGCCCTTTACTTGGCTCAGATGCTCTCTACAAAGCCAGACGTCCCTTCAACGGTATCAGATGCTTCATGTGGAGCCAAACGTTCTTCACCAGACTCAGATGCTCTCCGCAGAGCCAAACGCCCTCCCAACGGGTTCAGATGCTCCCTGCATAGCCTGACTCGTTTTAAACAAAACTCAGATGCTACTGCGGAGCCAGACGTTCCACACTGGACTCAGATTTTCCATGCGGAGCCAGACGCTCTACACTGGGCTCAGATTCTCCGTGCGGAGCCAGACGCCTTTCTACGGACTCAGATGCTCCATGGAGCCAGGCGCCCTTCACCGGGCTCAGATTCTCCATGCGGAGCCAGACGGTCCACACTGGGCTCAGATTCTCCGTGCGGAGCTAGACGCCCCACACTGAGCTCAGATTCTCCCTGTGAAGCCAAAAGCCCTTCTACGGGCTCAGATGCTCCATGCGGAGCCAGACGCCCTACATTGGGCTCAGATTCTCCATGCGGAGCCAGACGTCCCATACTGGGCTCAGATTCTCCATGCGAAGCCAGATGCCCTTCATCGGGCTCAGATGCTCCATGCGGAGCCAGGCGCCCTTCACTGTGCTTTCAACATCGCCGCCCACAAGCCTTGTTGCTTTACCAACACTTGCACCTTGATCTGCTAGAGACTGAAACTATTCCTCCCCGTGAATTTGTTGATAGTCACGTTTAACCCAGACATCTTCTTGCCAGACACGGAAACTCCCTGAACCTGGAGCTCTGATACCAGTTTGTTGTAACGGATGCAAGAAGAAAACAGTAAACGTAAAAATCACACACAGATTTAACGTGGTTCACCAGCGATGCGTTGGCTACATCCACGGACAAAGGAGACTGATTTTATTACGGAGACAGACAGTTTCATAATACATCAAAAATTAGGTTAACATGGTTATTTATAGCATAAATCCTAGTTAACCCTAATCGCAATTGGACTCGCTCACTTAGGCCCATGTAAGAACTTTCATGCAGAAATAGCGGCCCAATTGCACGCAGACTTCTACATTGCTCATGCAGGCTGTAGTCTTCCACATCAACTTATGTAGATCTCGACATCAGCTTCAAGATGCAGAACGTTGCACTCAACTATTTGCTCAAACAGATTGTAAACTTACACAAGCAACCTCAAGACGCAGCATGTAAGCTTCAACATGCAGCGTGGAAACTTACACAAGCAACCTCAAGACGCAGCATGTAAGCTTCAACATGCTGCAAGTATCCTGCATACTTGATCACGCAGGCTGCATGCTGGATCATGCATCCTGCATGCTTGATCCTGCAGCCTGTATGATTGATCATGCAGTCTGCACATATCTGCACGCATCAATGCCAGGAAGCTTCTACGCTTCAAGATTCAAGGTATACCAACAGATTAACTAAGAGCAGTGGCGGAGCTAGAAGTATATTCTATTGGGGGCAAAAATAATTATGCTAAAACATTATTAAATGATGGGGACAAATATATTATGTGATATGGGGGCAATAATCATTTTTCTTAACAATTTACACTAATTATTTTTTTTATTGGGGGCACCTGCCCCCATCTTATTACACCTGCCTCCGCCACTGACTAAGAGTCATGTTCGTATAGTTATGTCATTTCACTAAGAGTCATGTTTGATTAAGAGTTGTGTCTGTTCAACATGCTGTTTCACTTTGTATAAATAGATATCAAGTCTGTGTTTGTAAAAATAAGTCAGTGTGTAATACAATCAAAGCAATAAAGGTTGATTAGACTCATATTCTGTTTTTTCTTCTTTACCGTAAACATCAAACACAAATCTCTAACACAGATGCTATAGAACTTTTTTGAAAGTTGCTGACTTGTGGAGTGGTTCTGAGCGTCATTTTTACATCATCATTTCTTTTACTATTTTCTCATTTTTATCTAATTCATTGCATGTTATTCCCTCTGTTTCACAAAGAGTGTCGTTTTAAGGTTTATTTTTATTTCACAAAGAGTGTCGTTTTATATTTTCAATACAAAATTTTAAACAATATTCCAGTTTTAACCCTATTAATTTAATGTATTTATTAGATAAAAACAAATTATTTAATGTATTAATAAGGGATAAAGTTGTACTTTTAATAATTTTCTTAATATGTGTGAAAAATGTTAGAATGGCACTCTTTGTGAAACGGGGGGAGTATATTTTTTGTATTTTTAAAAAATTACTTTACCATTTGATCAACACAGACTTTATAAAATATTTACCACAGAGATGATTTCCATCGGTCGATTCGATTGTATCAGCATCAGCAGCCGATACAATGTTCTCCACATAAGATTCTCTCGTGTCTTAGGATGCCTCGTCGATAGGCTACATCAGTTCAACAACCGATATGAACCGAGACTCAAATTCTCTTTTTTACGGGTCTTTTCATATCATGTCTCTTTTTGCTCAATCTTTTTTTTCTTAGACCCATCCCGCTTTGATTAGCATTTTTCTCCATCAAACTCCAAAAGTACAAAAAAAAATACTTAAATGTATATGCAAATGTAAGATTTTTAACCTAGGATTTGCGATAATATAATGTAAAATTAAATATAACAAAGGAACTGTTCTGCCATGTTTGATAACTTTTACAAAGAATTTAATGACGAAAGTACATATGTTTAAATTTTAAATTTGAATACAATAAACATAATTTTTTTAACAAATTATTATGAAAATTTAAGACCACATGGCTTGGTTCTGCGACATAATAGTTCACCAATGGATAACTTACGCATTGGATTCAAATGGAATTGTTGGTGGATTAGTTCCTCTATGGCCGTCTTCAGGTACGGACCTTCACTCGATGAGAGCATCACTAGTGCGAAATGTTGTTTGAGAGTCTTGAGTTTTGTGGATTGCTGTGGAGAGTTTTACATTGTTGGTTTCAAGGTTTACAAGATGGATGAAGAATTATGGAAATGGGTACAAGTGGAGTCTTTAAGAGACAATGCGTTTGTGATGACTAACGATACTTGTTTCTCGGTTTTGGCTCATGAGTTCTATGGAGATCAGCAAAACTCTGTTTACTTCACCGATGAGGATGAGTGTGAGATTAAGGTGTTCAAGCTAGACGATAGTAGACTATTAGTTGTTTCCAAATGTTTGTTCCTAGCTTTCATTTAAATCTTGTTTTACGGTGTAAAGGTACTTTCTTTATAATTTAGAGTAACAAAAACTGTACATTTCATCTTCATCTTAGGTATATTGAGATTGCAACATGTTTACTTTTTGTATCATGATGAAGCAAATATGATGTTTTAGGCACTGCATCAGATGAATGATTGTGAAGTGAGATTGACAATTTTATCAGGGAGAAATCAAATTTATTATCCATAATAAATACCAAGTTTAAGATTAATAACCAAAACCCCAATTGTTTTGAGGTTTTGGTACTTTTAAACAATGATGAACCTGAATGAAACTTAGGGAGAGGTTTTTATATGTACAGAAAACCCCCAGCAGCAGAATCAGCAGCAATTTTTAAATCAGAACAACAACAATAAATTCTCTTCTCTCATGTCTCTCTTCTCTCAAGAGGAATGAATTCTTCAATGTTTCCATCTTTCTCTTTAAGCAATGCTCTTTCTGCTATGTGCCCAGAAGGGTTTTGCAGGTGTACGCTTCAAAGCCTTGACGCTGAATGGACTGTTCTTGCTCTGCCAAACCACAACATTGCAAAAATCAGTAAACATTTCTTAAACATAATCATCAAACTCAAAGACACCAAAATCTGTGAAGAAAACTCACCATCAAACAGGTTCCGCCATTACAAACCGGGTAATCATGAGGACAGCAACTAGAGTTATCATCGCAGCAAGTAGCAGCTTCGAGAGGGCAACATCCCCAACCAAAGCAGTACTTACCGTACTTGAAGAGACAACAACAAGTGTTGCTCTCAGGGCAAGAGTAGTATTTGTCACACTGGGTCGGTGGCTTGATGGGAGATGGTGGTGATGGGCCAGGGTTTGGTGGGTTCTGACCTTTCTTGATCGGATACGAAGCCTCGACCGCGATTCCACACTTTCCTGTTGGCTCTGCAATGTTACGTTCCATCTTTATGTATCCACTCTCTCCCCAGCTTTTTCCCCATGAGTTTCTCACAATCCAATAGTCCTTTCCGTTCTCAGTTCCGTATCCTACGGCTACAACTCCGTGGTCTAGGTCCGTTCCACAGATTCCATCAAATACACCCTGAAGAGAAAAAAGAGTTGAAGCAAGAAATGAAGATATGTATGGTTGTTCTAACTAGAATCTAGAGGAATCAATATTCGGAAACGTGAAATAAGTGAAAACAAGATGAATCTTAATATCGTATGACTTAAGAGTGGTACAAAATTAGAAGAATCATGTTTTCCAAAAATGAACATGTGAAATCAGAACATTCTAACATCTCGAAATGAAGATATATATGGTTATCTAACTAGAATCCATCGGAACCAATATTCCACAATGTGAAATAAGTGAAAACTTGATGAATCTTATGAGAGGTTAAAAATAGCAGAAACATGTTTCATACCGAAGAATAGAGCTGGAAAGCACGACCACCAGCTTCAATGGCGACACTAATAGGCTGATGAGCCAAAGCTTTCTTAAGCGCAGCCTCGCTGTTCTCAGGCACATCTTCATAGTCATCAATTGTGACAACCTTTGCGTTTTTCTGCAAACATAATAAAACAGAGGAATCTCAATTCAATCTCAAAGCCATTGTATTTCGGTTTTCATAACTAAAACTTAAATGCACAAACGAAACTAAACTAACCCTGTTCTGATCACAACGACCATCAGCAGCTTTGTATGGATAATCCTCTTCTGTATCAATACCGCCATTTTTAATGATGAACTCAAACGCATAATCCATCAAACCTCCATTACAACCTTGGTTATACGATGTGTCACAATCAACTAATTCTTGTTCAGACAATGAGATTAAGTGTCCTGTCACAATCTTGTTTATTCCTTCCACAGCTCCGATCGTTGAAAATGCCCAACAACTCCCTAAATCAGACACAAGAAGATAAGTTTTAATCAAAATTGGTCAAAATAATTAGACACACAACTCACTTTACTTCTTGAAAAGAAAAAAGTGAGTATCGTTATGGGTCCATTAGCTTAATTTGTTCCACCACTACCACTTTAAAGTTTAAAGACCAGAAGGACCCACCAACTTAAGTATTTCACTTTTTGTTCTGTAATAATAATAAAAACACAAACTATCATTAAAGAGCTCAAGATTTTCTCAAATTTGACCATTATCCTCCATAGATTTACGAAACGTACACCTAAAAGTCAAAACTTGAGAACCAAAACCTCATCATTCCCTAAGAAGAACAGTTATCAGGGGTAAATTAGTCTTTTACAGAAGTTTTGAGATTTTTTAGATTTTTTGATATTGTAAAAGATTAAGGAAATAACAATTTCAGATTTGGGTTTTTTTTTTTCAAATAATCGGAGATCGGAGAAAAGCTTACCGCAGCTTCCCTGATCTTTAACGGCGGCGACGGCACCTTCTTTCCTCCAGTCAACGGAATCGGGAAGCGCGTCACCAACACGCGGCAGATAACGATCGCTGGTTTTGAGGACACTCTTCTTCGGTTTGGCACCGAGGTAGATAGATCGGTACTCATCGTTGGTTAGATCAGCGAACCGGGTTAAACCGAGTTTGTAACTGAGGTTTTTGGTGTTGTGTTCATCAATGAAACGGAGATTGTCTTTGAAGATCTCGAATCTGTGGTCCTCTCCGAGAAGGCCGTTCTGTGTTTTCTTGCCGTGTTTCGCCATCCACTCCTCGTAGATTTTAGCGACCTCGGCTTCGCTCCGGCCGTTGACGGCGGAGATGTGGTGTTTTTCGTCGTATGAGATGATCGACATATCGACGGCAAACGAAACGCCGATCATCGTCGCTAGGAGAAGGATAGTTACCTTGAAGAATCTCATTTTTGGTTTTTTTAAGAGGAAGAAGAAGATGAAGAAGACAGATTGTTTGATTGACAAAGAGATTGATGATGGAGGTGTTATATAAAGGAGAAATTCAGTAAAGCGTCATTATTAATTATTAATTACTTTTGTTCACTTTTCAAAAAAATAATTAACAAAAACTGGCTAAAAATGTCTAAATTGAAAAGAAAAGCAGATTTCTTCTTCAAAATTAAAAATTACATCAAGATCTGAACTAGTGGAATAAACTTTATTCATCAAAACAAAATTTCTAAATATTTCATTTTTTAATTGATATTTTTTATACGTCAAAGATATACAATGAATCTATTTTCAAGCAAATTTTTCCTACAATGAATCTGTTTTGTTCTAACTTTAATATTTGATAGATCTTTTTATCATCTAATTTTATTATTAGAGTTATGAAAGATACAAATCACCAAAAAAATTAATATTTTTGTGAAAAACATTCTGGCCAAACAAAAGAAACACAATGCATGATAGATAAGCGATAACTAATACACAAGATCTAACTCGAGAGAACTTGAATCTAGTGATTAATCCTAATGAAGAAATAATCATCGTCTAATATAACAGCAAAATGAGAGGTGAGCCGTACAACAATAGAACATAGCAACTAGAAGAGATTTTTTTTTTCTTTTCAAAACCAAATCATGGATTCACCTCTGATCCATACTTAAGTCTACAACTAAACAATTGATTTAATCGGAAAAATCATGACAAAAATGTAAAACACATAGAAGAAAAAACATTGATAATCTAATATTTTTAAATAATTAATAAAATTTGAATTTAGAGGAAAAAACCTATACAAAAAGGAAATTCAATCTGCATCATTAATAATTATTAGTTACTTATGTCAACTTTTCAATTTATTGAAAAGAGTGTTTTTTGTTGTTGTTTTGTTGGTTTTTTTTTGGGGCTGATAGAATCCCTTAAAAGAAATATGGGGGTTAGAGAAATAAGTGAGAAGTACTAGGATGAAAATGAAATTTGAAAATGGTGAAGAGTCAATTATATTGGTTAAGACAAAATTGAGGTAAACGACAGCTCAGAATGCCAAGTGGATGAGGTGTAATTGGGGGAGAGATAAACTGTTGTTTTTTTTTTCATCAACTATTTTTTTATAATAACATCTACTGTTATTCCTTATTTATTTTATATCATCAAAAGTCCAAGCAAATAGGAGCACGTGAAGGGATCATCAAATCTCACGCGCTAGCGCGTGGATAGGATTCTAAAACAAAATTATCTTAGACCATGTTTATTGCAAGCACTCCTAATGGGGTACTTAATGATTATTTTATTACTTTCTTTAAAATAAGTACTTTAGATAAGCATTTTAGTAAAAAACTAGTTTATTGCAAGAATCCTACATGGGTTACTTAAATAAAAAAAAACATTAAACATAATTAATAAAACATTAAACATACAAATTTTTTAAAAATTAAATTCAGTTATTATCAGAATAACTTCCAAATTTTTGCCATAGATGCTCCACTAGATCCTTTTTCAAGTGGTGATGTTGCGTTGGATCCCGGATTTTCTTTCGAGTGTCGAACATATTCAGGATATTTGTAGGCATGTTTGTAGAGTACGATTGATCGACATGAGACATTCCTTCTCCCGGTATGAAATCTGAAACATCATGTAGACTGTATCCGTCTCGTTCGTCTTCTACTATCATATTATGGAGTATAATACAAATTCTCATAATTTTGCCTATTTTTTCTTTATCCCAAGAAAGAGCCGGGTTTTTAACAATAACAAAACGAGCTTGCAAAACTCCGAAAGCACGCTCGACATCTTTTTGGGCAGATTCTTGACGTTCAGCAAACAATTTTGCTTTGGCACCTTGGGGAAGTGTAATAGATTGAATAAACGTAGCCCACTTAGGATAAATACCATCTGTTAGATAGTAAGCCAACTTACACACTAGATCATTAATCTTCTGCCATCGTGCCTTGCAGTGGGTCGGCTCCCTCTGTACTCGTGTTTCAAAACCAGGACTTGCAGCAAAGTAGTCTGCAATGCGCCTCCAAAAAGGCCCTGACTTCTGTTGATTCCCTACAACTGAATCCTTGGAAATGTTTAACCATGAGCTGATGAGCAACACATCATCACTCGGGGTCCATGTTGTTCTTGCTTTTCTCTCTGCAGGCGTTTCT